ATGATTTGCCCCTAGAAATATTGGCGCGGGGCTCCTTAGGGGACTGAACCGGTTTATCCTAGGGGGAGTGGGGTCGGCCGGTCCAGGTTTATGGGCTTGGGTTCTCCCAAGGGGCAAGGGGCCACCCCTACTAGTTATCTACTATATATGCTATGTAATTTTCATTAGGGTTCAATTTTTGTGGAGTGTTTTTGTCAGGATAGCCGTCACATCCCCTTTTCCCTTCTAGGGTTGTATCTGAGGACAAGTAGCACTCCGACTATATCTCGTTCTAAGCTAGCGATTATCCCCAATTTACTCTACTTGACATCCACCCCGCTGCTGCCACAAACCTTTTTCCTCGATGCAAAAACCCCCCAGCAAACTATCTTGGTGACTCGCTGCACCCACCACCCTTAGACTTCTTCTAAGGTTTTGTTTACTTCAACCTTTTTTTTTTAAAACTTTTTTAAACTTTTTTAAACTATTTCTTTTAGGAGTTTTATTGTTCGGGTCTCTACTTTACTTTTTAATCTTTTTCTAAAAATTCTCATGAATTGATCTTTAAGAATTTTATTTAGTTTTCTAATATCATTGTTTTAGAGTGAAATATTAAACTCCAGTATGAAAATTTGAAAGAATCTTTTGTTGGTTATCCTGTAGTAGATAGAGAGAAAATTTAAACTCCTTTATGGAAATTTAAAAGAACCTTTTGTTAGTTTATGCTGTACTAGATAGAATATTTGTAGCGTATTGATATTAAATTTTCTTAGGGTAGTACATTTTTCATGATTTGCCCCTAGAAATATTGGCGCGGGGCTCCCTAGGGGACTGAACCGGTTTATCCTAGGGGGAGTAGGGTCGGCCGGTCCAGGTTTATTGGCTATGGTTCTCCCAAGGGGCGAGGGGCCACCCCCTCCCCTACTAGTTATCTACTATATATGCTATGTAATTTTCATTAGTTCAATTTTTGTGGAGTGTTTTTGTCAGGATAGCCGCCACATCCCTTTTTCCATTCTAGGGTTGTATCCGAGGACAAGTAGCGCTCCGACTATATCTCGTTCTAAGCTAGTGATTATCCCCAATTTACCCTACTTGACATCCACCCCGTTGCTGCCACAAACCTTTTTCCTCGATGCAAAACCCCCCCCCAAAAAACTATCTTGGTGTCTCGCTGCACCCACCACCCTCCCCTCTTTCCATCCTCCGGCTGCCAGCTTCTCTCCTCTCCTCTCCTCCTAACCATCCAGTCAACAGAAATCCCCGCTATCCCACTGTCTGCTGCCCAACCAGCCGTCCAACTCACCAACGATCACCTTTGCCCCCACCATACTTGTCCTCATTCTAGAGGGTTATTTGTGTTTGTGTTGTTTTTTTTTTAAGTGTCTTTATTTGTAATCTCTTTTGAATTTTAGAAATAATTTTTGCATTTTTACTGTAGTTTGGGTTAACTTTGGTATTAAGATATCTTATTGGTTTAATATATCCTCTGCAGCTATGAAGTGCTCCAAACTATTGAAGCAGAAAGCATTATGCGTCCTCTTGTGGGCATAATCAGGCTTGCAAATGCATCTGAAAGCACACTAGAAAAGGTTCTCCTAGGTTCTTGAGAGATAATCTACTAAACATTCTCTATAGCACAAAATTGTATCAGTATTCTGCAACAAATGACAACTTTCTATGTACAGATTGTAAATATATTGCATCGAGTTATCAACCTAGGAGAATGCATGGAAGGAAAGGTAATCAATGAATGAATTACTTACGTGAGTGCAACTAATAATCATTTATCTTTTTTTTTGTACTAAAGTTATTTCTTTTAGATCCATGAGGAGGAATTTTTCTCTGGGTCCAACAAAAGGGTCAATTCTTCGTATAGTTCTATCAATAAAGATGTAATTACGAGAGCATCCAAGACTTCTTCAGTATTTGAGTTGATTTCAAGGTCAGTACTATTGGCATGGCATTGTCTTTTTTATCTTTATTTGGTTTTTAGTTTTACCTCTCGAAGCACTGGCAATTACCTCACCCATTGGGGGGAATTTATGGCTTGATAGAAACTTTTTTCTCTACAAAAGTATGAGAAGAATATTATACGCCTGCATAAGCATAACACCATTACAATTTAAAAGTTAAAAAATACCCCAAAAATCAAATATCTTGGCTGATATATATCATATTATTCAATTTGGGTCAAGTCTTGCTAGTCATTGTTCATATTTGGTTTTTAAAACATATAGAACTGATATAATAGGTCAGTTGTCTATCTTGGTTGTCTGGTATTTTAGAAGCAACTTGCATCAAAACCTAAAAAGGTTATGGAATTAGTATTTGAAAAAATCAATGAAATACTCAAATTCAAAGGTATCGTCAATAGTTTTTCTAAAATTCTGTAACTTATACTCAGCTTGAAATGATACTTGTACATGAAAATGTGTGGTTGTATGTAAATTAAAGCATAAACATCTAAGGATAGGTAGAGCAAGCTAAGTTTTTTTATGAGAATTACATGGTACTTTGCTTTTTAGATTGAATTGTGAAATTTAATGCCACGACCAGACCGATGAGCTTGGAATTAACAAGACAGGAACTGATGATCAGACGGAGGAAACCTATTTAACAGTTTCATTTCATCAAAAAAGTAAAATCCAGAACACAAATGAGCTGTTCTAATTCATAAAACTTATATTTACAATAAATTGTTCATATTTAAACATTTGCATTCAAACAGAAAATAAACTAAACCACAATATCTATCAACTTGCGTTCCACGACACCTGTATACGTACTCCCTGAGGTTCATCTAATATACAGTCTATTTTCCTGTAAAAAATGTTAGCAACTATAGGTCGAGTTAAAACTATTCAGTGTGTAATGTTTTTAAATTACAATAATTCTCATTTTTAAAATATTTTTTGTAAAAGTGCAGTAACAATTCAAAGAGAGCAATAAAAAAATTAAATTTCATTTTTTTTTTCATTTATTCAAGTTACACTTTTCATAATTGGAAGTCATCGTCTAAATGTATACTTTCTAAAAATATACGTTTAACATTTTCCAACCCACCATAAATGTAAGTAATCATTTCCATTTTTATTTCGTGCACGGGTACAATGCATTCTTCTACTAGTACTATTAAAGGGTGACTCCCATATGCATACATACATCATATTTTATTTTTTTTTATCTTGTATTTTCATTTTATATTCAAAAGAAAACTTGCATTTAACATTTAAAAGGTAACATAGAAGTTTGCATTTTAAAAATAAAAACTGGGAAACAGTGAAAATATGTGTAAATAAACAAAACTATTGTAAAATAAAAAATATATTACCCACCTCAATAATGTCCTTTGCTATCATTTTCTTCAGATAAATCTAATAATTTTTTTAAACCTATAATAACATATTAAGCATAATTAGTTAAGAATATATCATATATAATTAATTTAAATAAATTTCTGACCATCTTTCTCAAGAATTCTAATCTACCAATTTGATATTTTTATTTGCCCTTTTTATCTAATTAAATTACTATTTATTGTACAATTTATAATTTAGTTAAATACATTCTAAGACAATTAATAAGATTTCTTAAATCTTATTTTGTAATTTAATACAAATTAATGAAGAAAATAATAATTAAATTAAAATTCAGAATTTATGCCTGAAACTTCTCTCCTTAACAAATTTTATCCCGCTTAATCATTTTCGTCAATCACCTAAAATTGTAAGGATGAACATTTGGATTTCCATTTCATAGTTTGAATCAATTGTAATTAATAACCTAAAATTATTTAATTATTTAAAATTTTTCTCAGCTTTTAATCGTTTGCACTGCCCTGATATGGTCGAACCGAACAGTAAGGCTCACTGGTGCCTTTTTTTTGCACGCTGAGCTGCTTTCGCACGAGAGCTCCTGTACTCAAAGCTCTCGTTGTCATTTTTCTTCCTTCCCAAGCTCTAGGTTGAGCTTCAAAGTAGTCGCACGCTCCTTCCGTTCTCCTCTGCGAGCCGCACGACAGGGATCCTGCCGTCTACTTCCTCCTCCAGCTCTCGGGTAAGGCATAGAAGCTCTTCCGTCCTCTTCTTTGCTTTGGTGGGTCGCTCGAGCCCTCTGGCTCCTCCTCTTTCCTCATCTGCAGCTCGATTAGGGAACGAATGCCTAACCTCTTCTTCGCTCGATTAGGGCCGTTCGAGCATTCCAAATAGCCAATCAGGCTTCTCCTTCTTCTTCCTCCTATCACCTGTTGCTGACGACAATTGACATAAACATTTGAGTTATGATCACGAGCAGTGAAGGGAAACAACTAGGTAAGCCGCTCGCCTCCTCTTCCTCCTTCCTCCTCTTTTTCTTTTTTCCTTTACCTCACTCTCTCGGTCTCTCACGCATAGACTATCTCTCTCGCTCATTTCGTCTAATGAGTTTGAGTGAGGGGTCGAGGGGATAGCTTCAAAGTTGATTCTCCCATGAGCGGTGAGCTCCTCGTTTGAACTACACCTGCACAACAATCATAAAAATGTTTTTTTATTCAAATAATTACTTTTCTTATATTCTTATTATTACAAATTTTTCCTCCTAAAAATCGTCCTTGAAATTGGAAGTACAGGAATATAGTTCGATTTTAAAAAAAAAAGGTGCGGATGTCTTTCCCTCATTTTTGATTCCTTCTCCCATGTAGCATCATTTTTAGTTTCATGCATCCATATTACACGAACAAAATGAATCTCTCTACTCCTCAGCTGCTTCATATCATAATCTATGATTTTTTCCTGCTCATCCACAAATGTCAGGTCAGATTGAATGTCTAAAGAGTATGTAACAAGCCTACTAGTCTCATCATTACTATACTTCTGCAACAAAAAGATATGAAACACATTTTGTACCCCATACATGTGTGTTGGTAGTGTAAGCCTATATGCCACTTTCTCAATCTTCTCCATGATTTCATACGGACCAATACATCGTGGACTCAACTTTCCAAACTTTACAAATCGCTTGACACATTTCATGGGACAGGCCTTAAGGAAATAAATTCCCCTGCTTCAAATTCTATTGGTCGGTGTTTAACATCATAATACTTTCTCTGTCTATCTTGGATTGCTCTCAGTCTGTCACGAATCAGCTGAATCTTCTTATTTGTTTCATCGAGTAAATTATCACAAATTAATTTCCTTTCTCCCGTTTCTGCCCAACAAAGAGGTGTCCTGCATTTTTGTCGATAAAGGGTTTCATAAGGTGCCATACTAATACTTGTTTGGAAATTGTTATGGTAGGAAAACTCTATCAGAGGTATGTGTATTTCCTAGTTTCCACCAAAATCAAGAACACAAAGTCGAAGCAAATCTTCCCATATTTATATCGTTCTCTCCAATTGACCTTCTATTTGGGGATGAAAGGCTGTATTGAAAGTCAGTTGAGTGTCAAAAGCCTCTTGAACCTTCCTCTGCAGTCTCGATGTGAATCTAATGTCTCGATCTGAAATAATAAACTTTGAGACACCATGCAGTCACACAATTTCATCAACAAAAATTTTGGCCAACTTATCCACAATTTTTCTGCCTGATAGGCAAGAAAGGTGCAGACTTGTTCAGACGATTAATAATCATCCATATAGTATCACGACCCTGACTTGATCTCGGTAGCCTCATCACAAAGTCTATAGCAATATCCTCCCATTTCTACTCTGGTATAGGCAACGGTTGCAACAATCCACTGGGTTTCTGATGCTCAGCCTTTGCTATTTGACATGTTGGACACTTTGCTGCAAACTCTGCAACACTGCGCTTCAACCCTGGCCAACAAAAGAAACGCTTAAGCTACTGATACATCTTGTTGCTTTTTAGATGTATCGTATATCTCGAATAATGTGCTTCATGCAGTGTTTCTTTGTGTAAATCATTCATGTCAGGAATTTAAATTCTATCCTTGTACTTCATAGCTTTTCTTCATTGATCTCATATTTCTCCAATTGCCCTGCATTTCCCTAGTCGAGTATTTTTCAAAACTCTACATCATGTGGCAGTGCATCTCGTATTTTATCCTTCGAAGTTGGCTGAATTAACATATAATTCAATAAAGCAAAACTTTCATCATTTGTCGTGACTACTGATAACTACAAACACCCCATAACTTTAATCAGCTCTTCTTGCTGTGTAATTACCCAGTTAGTACTACCACTTGCCTTCCTACTTAACGCGTCTGTCACAACATTTGCTTTCCTCAGGTGATATTGTATATCCAAGTCATAATCTTTGATAAGCTCAAATCATTTCCTTTGTCTTAATTTCAACTTCTTCTGGGTGAAAATATACTTCTAACTTTGGTGATTAGTGAATACTTCACACCTGACACAACAAATATTACCTCCATATCTTCAAAGCAAATACAACTGCTGCAAACTCCAAATTATCTGTTAGATAATTTTTCTCTTGATTCTTCAATTGTCTAGAGGCATAAACATTCACTTTTCCATATTGCATAAGGACACACCTAAGTCCCCTTAAAGATGTATCATTATAAATCTGGAAGCCTTTTGTCCCTGAGGGGATAATTAATAGTGGTGCTGTCATTAAACACATCTCCACCTTTTGGAAAGCTTTCTCACAGTGATCTGTCCATTCGAATTTCACCACCTTCCGAGTTAATCTGGACAAAGGCGTTGCCATCTGCGAGAACTCTTCAACAAATCTTCTGTAATAACTTGCCAGACCCAAGAAACTCCGAACTTTTGTAATAGTGGTTGGTCTGGGCCGATCACTTATCACACTATAATCTTATTCTGGTCCACAGTGATTCTTTCACTGCTAATGATATGGCTTCGAACGTTATGCTCTTCCAGAAATCACACTTTGAAAACTTATCATACAATTGGTTCTCTTTTAGTGTCTGCAAAATAATGCGTAGATGATCTACGTGATGAGTCTCATCACTGGAATAAATTAA